GCTTCAGCCTATGTTTGTTTTTGATCGTACAGCCACTGCAAGGTAATTGGTAGACGAATATAATACGTTCAGTCTGTCTGTCTGTCTGTTTTCGACATAGAACTTTGCACAAATGTGCGGAAGTTCAAGTCGCCACATTCCGTGTAGCACGCGAAGCAAGAGAAGAAAGTACAAGAAAAGCATAATAGAAACAGTGAGCAGAGGTGTGAGACAAAGGAGTAATAAAGAAAAACAAAACAGTTTCATTAGAGATCATAAGTCACAAGGAGTGGATGCATCTGCACCACTGAGAACCATTTTGAGCCATGTCACCAATTGTTTCCAACCATAGATTTTTACCGTCCCGAGGACCCCAGCCTGGAAGTCTACACCTTTCTACGTGGCTTAGACCAACTGTTGTGGATTTCATTGACTGATGCCAAGTTTTTGTTTGACCGCCGCTAGCTTTTTTCCAGCCTGACCCTATATCCGCTAACATAGCTTGTCGAGGGAGGCGATGACTTGGCATACGTAACACATGTCCTAACCATCTCAGTCTTTGTAGCTTCACGACTTCGTCGATTGATTTCCCCTGTTTACCTAGAACTCTGCGCCTAACGTTCAGTGGACTCAACAGGATCCTATATGGATATAATTTGTGTTTCAGCGAGTTGTTCAGAATCAATATGTAGGAATTAAACAAAGTCCACACCGACTATGGTAGAATAAATGTGAACTCCCACTCACAACATGCTGATGTAAAATGTGTTGCATAGATAGGACTGTAGTTGACAAAAATTACCGACGAAAGCGAAAGAGTTTGTTGTATCACACACGAAGTACAAGGAAAGTGTGTTAATTGACGTTTCTTATCACTGGATCTTTTAGATGTGTACTGTTGTTTGTTAATATTTATCACATTAATTACGAGCAATTCTGCCAAATACTTATTCCCGAATTCCTCACACTAATTTATTGTTGTCGGTTGGCTTACTGGGATTAGGTGATTGCAAAATACAACCGCAGGGAAATATTACAAAATACAAAGAGGTGTAGTGTGAGTTTAGAAAGACGCCTTAAGATTTATGATCACGAAAACATTGTTTGCAGAGGAATATTCCGGGCGCTCACGAATTCTGAAATACATCTGGAAAATGAAATTCTATGGCAATGCCATCTTGTCAAAAATGAGATATTTTACCGGAGAATGAATATCCAGTGTCGTGATTTCCACGTCATCCTCCATATTCAATACGGCATGTTCATTCGAAACTGAGCTTTGCACGAAGGCTTCATCAATTGACAAGCGTCGAAGTCTTAACTGAATTCATTCTCAAGGAATCGATTTTCACTTTCACCGAAATTATTTCATTCATCAGATCAGTAAGCAAATGAAAATAACGGAGTATGCTTCTGCACTTTCTCATCATTCTGAAACTCCAGATGCTTAGGTACTTATGAATCACGTGAGAATTTCATGCAGATACGTGTCTAAATATCACCTTTCTTGGACACTACAGGGACTAATTGTGACTGTCCACATTGAATCAATGTGAAGATTGACTATCTTGTGGATGAAAAATTAGTTGTTGAGACGTTGGTAATTTCAACCACTCAGTTCTAAATTCATTCAATGAAGTGTGAGCAGTTTAATAGAATGACGGTTTCGCTTCTTGCCACTGGGTTTGTTTTTCTTTGGTTTGTGAATTGACAAATATAACAGTCAGAATTTCGGGATAAAGATATATATATTCTTTGCTGTTATTACTAAAATTGTCCAAAATATTATACAGCATGGATCCACTCTGAATCTAGTCGTCCTGGAGTTTGAACGAATAGTGACATGTGGTTTCATGATGGAATCTCCACAAATCTAACGTTGAAATAAATTATTACAGTGTGCACTTCGATTATTCAAAACACTCTACACTTTTCGTTTTGTGATCGACTGATATTAGGTCGTGTGACATAGAAACTAATGATACAATTGTGATGAGTATTGAGAAGCATTTCTCGGTCAGAAACACTGACACATAAATACACCCACACGTTTAGCTTACTTGTGATCCACGTAACTCTGAATCCATCTAAGTCATTCAGACCATATTGGTTCCACATATTTTCAATGACTTTAATTAGACTTGATGTTTATTTTTGTTTGTTACTCAGAAAATGAACTTGATCTAATGTAGCTTCAAAGTAAAACAGAATAATCAATGACTCATAAATACAAAGTAGAACAAGCATGTAAATACCTTGTGAACAGTGAAGATGAAGATGCATTTCATAGAAGACAAGTAGACTAATTAGGTGAAACATACTGTTTGTGTGGTTTGGAATATTTCAGTCTATTTAAAGCAACATTGTAAAATGACTACAAGTAAAAGGGAGTATCAGTTTATATAGATATACATTACTGTTATTATTAGAACATATGAAATAATCTACAATATGTGGTATTCCAATTCGTTTAGAGCATTGGTTTAAACTACTATCACATCTATTCACAACTATCTACTTTGTCAATGACTAAAATGAGCATTCAGTTAAGATGAGATTGTTTGTGAAGTCTTTATTCAGTACAGAGAGAATGAAGTCTGTTCACTTCATGCTTACAAAAACGAATGTAGTCAGTTCTCTTGTATTGTTTAAAATGTATAAAATTCCGTACATGGATTATTACTGTCTCTTATTTCTCCGGTTAAATTATTCATCATTTTCACGGTGACTAACAGAAGAGTATGGATGGTTGTCCATGATGAATGCATATCAAAGACACGAATAATATATCATTATGGATATGTATTGAATATCACAAAGGGAGATCACTGAAACTGCTGAAACGTAAATTTTTCACTGCAACTAATTGTCAGTGATGCATGAACTGATCCACGACTAATACTCACAAATAGGTCAAAGTTCTTCGTTGGTGGAGATTACAAGTGACTTATATGTCATTCCACATTGCCATTTTTCTTTCATCCTTACATCACGTGTTTTTCCGTGCTTTTCAGTTCACTTGAAAGGTTTTCTTCACTTAAAGCCTTGTTTTGCTTTTCATTATTGCATAGCCAGTGACTAAGTGATCACGAACTTCACAAGTTTCAATAAAGCAATTTGTAAGTAACACAAATAGTCATTACTAAGATATGGAAATTTACGAAACTGCGAATGTACAATTTTTGATAACGAAATCACTACAACTACTACACTACCAGGCCTTTTATATCCAAATATTCATTCGACTTTCATGAGAGGTATTTAAGTCGCCCAATGTATCATTCTGTTAATAAACGTATGCATAGTATTTCATGTGTTTCGAGAAAAGAATGCTGACAACTCGCCTTCAAGATATCTGGGTACATTCAGTCGTTTTTAATGCTACGGTCATGCATAATAATCACCCAGTTTTCTGTATAAATTCAACTCCAATAATTCAAATTGAGTATACAACGCAAGAAATGAAGAAGACAGACCGTTGGATAGAGAGGTTCCACTGTCATGTGTCGACTAGCAATAATGATATGACCGCATAATATATAGATACACACACAATGGTTGAAGAAGACAGAAATTAGTCAACAGATTGCAGATCAATCCAGTATCACTTAGAAGTAGCCGTTATTATTTAATATAGATGTTCATATTAACAAGGAATTAAGCGCATCTAACAAGAATACTAGGAGTGGGGTATATAACAAATAGGTGATTTATTTCACTCAGAAACCAGCATGAAATGTATATTGCTCGTTTGTTATTTCAGTGTGGTTAATATTCCTTTCAGATATCTACAATTAATTATTATTAACCGCATATCAACGCATATTCTGTTTAACCTCTGCTTACTTTTGTTTACCATCTTCTCCTGCACATGTCATCTAGAACTCTCTTTCCAGTGGAATGTTGTTTACAACTGCCAAAAATATGAAGTGACTTATACTTTGATCTCTTCCGCCTCAAATTTTCTAATAAATCAATAAAATCAGATTGTTCTGTGTCTGTGTGATTACAAAGCACTTTGCGATCTCACATTTCTTCACTTGTACAACGATGATATAATATGTTTTGGTGTACACTGATTTATACTCGCTAAGATGTGCATTAGTTACGTGTGCAGCGGTGAAAGAAATTATGCTGTGAAGTATTGTTTAGAATGAGATGTTAAGTGTGGCTGTATTGACAGTTATGCAACTGAAGTAAACGAACTTGTATATTGTCTCTGTTTTATCACTTAATCTGTACAGCTAACAGACGCAAACTCCGCTGAGTATTTCTGTGTCACTGCGATTATCAGTATGTCTGCGAGATAATTTCGTCCAGCTATTTTTCAGCTTTTCAAACACTCATCAGACCCGTAGATCAGATTATAATGGAATCAATAGCAGTTGTATGTATGGGCCTATTACCAGTAATTTTTCCATTGTTTGCACCATATGCGAGGGCACTGATCGGATCGGAAAATCACCTAAAATCGTAAACAGCTCATCAAACCATTTCAAACCATTTCTTTCGAACGTTACTCTTGCAATTTTAAAAACATTTATGTTAACTCATGCAACTTTCACAGCTAGGATGCTTGTAAAAACGCAGCATTCATCTCTGGATACCTCAAACTTATATCAACATCTGCCTACTTCACTGCACCCAAAATGAAGGTGAAGAGACCAGCCAGGAATGATTGTTTGACGAAGAAACCCACCAGAAGCAGCTCACCAACCAACAACATACTGGCTAATAAAATAAGCAGAAGGAAATACAGATAGATTAGATATACACTGAGGATTGATTCAAGTAACATCACACACCAGTCTCCGTCGCCGTGAAGCCAAATGGCGAGAGACGCATGGTTTACGAGAGTAATATCGAGGAGATCGCATGACTTAGAAATTAGAGCATGTAACTGAGCAGTAGTGGAGTCAGTTGAGATGGATGGGATGGAGATGGACCGCTGATGTCCCACCTCCCACACGGATATCAAGAAATGAATGGCGAAATTAACAATGATTTATAGTTTCTCGCTTTAATTATTTTGAATTCACACTTTAATATTTCAAACGTTAATTGTCACACAATGAATTAAAAGAGCACCATTTCAGAAGAAATGAAAAGTTAAAGTGAAATTAATATCAACATTAATAATGAAGATAATAAAAGTCAATGAACATGTTGCTCAGCACTGTTTCCTCCGAAAAGTCATTGGGTGATAAGAAGAAATAATAATTTCCAAGTGATGCAGTTATTCTGTAAAAATAAGCAGACACACATATTCATTTTAGAAATATAGATGGAACAAATGCAAATAGTAATGGCAACATAGATTTAAAAATTGACATTTGAAAGTCGCTATCTTCAAATTCTTCACCAACGCGGTTCACCTGATTAATTAACGAACTCTGTTTTTCCAAAGAGATAACGGATGAAGCCACATATGCTCGGGAGATTACCTTTCATCGATTCAATATGCAACACGTTTCACTCTGACTGACTGACTGACTGAGTGAAGTTGAACAGATGCACGAATTAATGGAATGAATTATTTTATATCACTAAATCTAACAGTTTGTGGTTTCATGAAATTCAAATATCAGAGTGGACACTGTTTTAACTGTGATGATGTTTATGTATTCAAGTGGAATAAAAGATCTCAGACAAATTCATAACTATTCGGAATGAGGATAAGTGAAGTGAAATGTTGTTGTGTTCATTGGAAAGGATTTCAAGGGAACATAGAGAAGATGGGGGCGACGAAGATTACCAACCACCACCACATCGACGACCAAACCATCAACACCAGTCACTGTCACGTGAATGAATTTAGAAGAGGTCAATTTATTCTTTCACTCGTCTAGAAAACGCCGTTTGAACCACAGGCAGTCGGCACAGATGACGATGTCAACACCAGCCAGAACCCGAAAGACAACAGTCTCTTAATTCATACTATTGACTGATTCAGATACTAACCTTAGGTTTAAGTAAAACCCTTCATATGTATTAAAGTATTCACGTAATACGGTTTCTCTCCACTCTATATAATTTGTCATTATACAATAATCGGTCAGCAATAAATAATACACCTGTGTTTACATCATCCCATGCTTATTTAATTTATCCTCATTACAGTTATTTGCTCTCCATCGAACTTATACCTGCCTCACTGGATTTTATTTGTTCGTTTATTTTTCTGCAGCTCACACACTCCCTCTCACACCATCCGCGGAAACTGATAATTTGTTGGTCAAGTTTATACAAATGCATCACTGAGTTATTTCAGGTAATTTCTTACTGACTGCACATATTTTATAGGCCTTGGAAATAGTAATCCAAACTGAATGACTATTACTTCATTTTCTACGCATAGCACAATACACTCTCTGACTTAATTCCAATTCAGCTTGACTGGCTTGTATATGCTAAAATCAGTGGATTTATATATGAATAGCGTGAAGAAAGAACTTATTGAAAGCACCAGTGTTGGCTGTAATTATTCTTGCTTGAAGTGAGAAACAGGATGATATGACACTTCTCAATCAATCGCCTCAGTTTAATTCACTTCATGCGACTTACCTGCTGGTATCAATTTCTCCAGTTCACTTGATATCTGCATAAATAATTTCTTTTCAACTGAAAACATGCGTGAAAAATTATTATCTTGAACAACTGACTGTTTAGTATCAGTAACTTTGAAACTGATGATGAATCAGACATAAGATAGTGAGAGGAACATATTAAAACAGTTGTGGACAGAGAGGAGAACTGCTGGCCATGACACATGATGGCAGGAGATTTTCGATTACACAGTACATTACACAGTAGATAAATTTTAATGAAAGCCTACTAGCACAATGAAATCGCCCACACACCTGACTTCTCCAACATTCTGTAATTTAATATTACTTTACTCAGTGGGTTACCCTTTAGCTGGTCTCACGATTACACGTAAGATCTCATCTCCTCTATGTCACACTTGAACAGCCGACTTCTCGGTTTTCCATTCGAAATTACTCTTGGGCGATGGCCTGGTTTGTGATATCGTCAATGTTCTCCTCAGGCTAACATCATTCCTGTCTTTACCTAGAAGGCCTCATTCACCCCTCACTTTTCCGTCACTTCATACGTGGAATCGTCATGTAGCTGTTGAGTGATATTAGTGAACGTTGAGGTCACCTCATTGTTTCGAAGCAGTTTCCACATCACTCCACAGTTAACGCTATTTAAAGTCTATTAGAATTCAATGAATGTGAGATGAGATTCCACTGTTATACTATGCTCTGTTCGATGATGATGTGAAGCGTTCTGAGTTCATTCGCGTATACTCTGCAAAAGTCATTCTTCACTGCACATCAACAAACGTTGATGATCATAAGCTCATGGTTTCAGTACTCAGTTTCAGAGATAATTATCATGAGTTCGATATCACACGTGTCAATGGGTACACAATTCTGATGAGTTTCAAACTCAGAAGGAACACGTTTCTATCTGCTCCTCATCCCATATCATTCAATGAATAAAATTACTTTGCAATAAATACATACTTCTTCTATTTCGAATAATAATATTTACGAATAATAGATTGTTAATATGATTTATTCAGGACTTGTAGTATAAAATATGGTATCTGAATAACACGTCAAATCATACACTAAAATGATGTGTTTGCCTGTAATACTTACATACGCTTTGGGTTTGTGCCTCGATTACATAGTACAATGTTCTGATTTGATTAGTTAGTTGATGAATTTCTGTGAAAATGTTAGTTGAAAAATTTATTCAAGTTAAATTGATTTGTTAAAAAGAAAACGGAACTCTCACATTGGCTGCAGACTTTTATCAACAGATACATTCGCTCTGTACGGAGAGTTGGATGGTCGGCCAGAAATTATGAGTAACAAAGAGCTCCGGGATGAAGCCAACTGAGAAATTATTACCTCACTAATATGCAGAAGAAAATAGAATGGAGTCAGTCAAAAAGGAAAGGCAGAAAACAGAGTGGAATTGAGATGTGCTACTGAAGTCCTATGCTCCACTCGAAATCCAAAAAATAATAATTTCACAAACTGTAGGATCCTCATCAGATGTCATTCCTCTACTCAGCCGAAAAACGAATTCTCTTGTGATAACACCTACGTTGAAATATATGATTTCGCTCAATGAAATCATCATAATACCATGAGGGGCAGAAACTTTTTTCAAAACACAGTCACACCTTACTGGTATAACTTCATTCCCTTGCGAAGAGAATCATCACAAGCCATGATGACATTACCTTACTGTAGAGTTGTGTTGCATATAATGATTGTCAATTTGAATATCCGAATATGTGAAAGGCAGAGTTACTGTGAGATCAGATAATACTCTTCTCAATTAATTCATGACAGCTCTGTGATATCTAACCGGTTCACAACAAACTGAGTTCATAAACACTATTATTACTACTATTATTTATTTAATTCCTTAACATTAAGAGTGGAACAAACAGCTGCAAGCTTGAGCATTCAGGTTGCAGTAGCGTTGGTGTAGGCTGGGATTGCTAGTCCCACGCACAACCTTCTTTCTTTACCGAGTAAATAATCAGCGTGTTTGGGAAGCGTTGCACCATTCAGCCAGCGACTCATCGTTATAACACAGCTCCGTGTTGGCAGTAAACCAAATACTTCAAACTCACATTGAGTATGTTTCACCTACTTATCTCCGGGAATCAAGTTACAATTAAGCATTATCATTGATCACTCCGGGTGAATCATAGGTCATCAGTGTGTCACGTGCTCACTCCACTCGGTTCTGTCGCACGAATGTCAGCTGACTGAACGACTGAGCAAAAGCTTTCTCCCTCATATAAATTCCTCCATGTCACACTGGGACGGTCAACTCGTTGCCTTCCATTTAGGTTGAACTCGATGACCTGTCTGGTGAGTGATATCGCCCAATTGCCTTCTCAGCCTATGTGAAATCTTCCTCCATTTCTTTGTGTATATGTGTTGAGCAACAAGTTGTTGAGTGGTTGACTGCCTTGTAGAGTCCCATGTTGTTTATCATGGCCATCTGATCTTCATTATTGAGGCAATTGAAAGGGTATGTGCTGATGGTGTTCTCATGCGAGTTGCTGTAAATGCCTTTTGAGACCCGTGTGTGAAGCCTTTGGACCATATAGATGCACTGATGTGAAATAAGTGTTGTGAGTTCCGTGTCCTGCTAATTTCAGACCAATGATACCTGTGCTGTCTTAGGCATTCTCATTCGTGTCGCCTTTAGTTGTAGCGATGCTGACCAGGTGAATGAAAAAGACGACTTTACTCATTTACCCCATTGATGATGGGGAAACAGGGGTATTCCACACTACTGTTGTATTATTTACCATAATTATCAAGTGTCTGTGTTGTTGTTTTATCGAAACGCATTATCTAATTCTTAGTGCTAAGCTGTTTGAATTTGGCCTCAATTCACATGACATGTATGATGATGAAAACAATTTTCAATGACATACCACGACGCAGGGCATTCGGATCATGACGCCTACAAGCTGTCCGGTCATAAGTTTTGGCCATTTCTATTTTCATGAAACAAGAAAGAAATTCACAATGAAAATATGATTGATCAAGAATGATATCAGTGAAGATGAATTGAAAAACTGGAATAAGGCAAGGTTCGATAAATGTGGCACTATTGAGTGTTGAAGACGTTAACACTGGTGGCTAATTAGTGCACATCTGAATGTATTTGAAGTAAACAATGAGAAAATCAGTCTCCATTTTCACTCATCTGCATTTCTAGTTGAAGATAAGGCAACAAGCTTTGAAGTTTCAGTAGCGATGGTATTGTTTTTGCATGCTGTGATCGCTAGCCTTAGGCAAAAGTTATCCTCTTTTCCGGACTCACTACTTGCTAGTAACCTAGGCAAGGAATACGCACACGTTGTCCAGGAACTGAAACTATGCCTCCAGCTGAGCAGATGAGCACTCTCTCATTGAACAGCTGATACAAGTTACTTGATGGTGTTGTTGGTGTTGTAATTGTCATCACTTAACTGATTGAATTACGTTAAATTTGAAATAAATAAAGATACGCTTTAATCTTATGAAAGCAACTTATCCTCACAGTAATACAACCAAAAGGAATCACAGTGCGACAGTGAGTCAAAAGTGTTTACACAGCAGTTCACACTCACCTTCATAACTCTTCGCCTTATCCTGAAAGCACTGCTTCATGTTATGTGTGTCAGTAGTAATAATTCCTGAGAATTGTACAATGAAAGAGAAGATGTATACAAAATCTCAGATATCAGAATTTCACCAAGAAACTTTCTAATGCTAACTGTGCATATAGCTGTCCTCCTAGTTATGTTTGACTAAATCATAAGGCAATGTACTTCTTTAAATACAGTCACACTACACTATGATAAGCATAAAAAATTCATGATATTCAGTGTTAGAAGTCCTCCACTCTTAATCTATGGCAAACAAGGTGGCTACCACTATGAAAGTGAAAGAGAATAAATGCACATAATTAAACAATTTGGCTTACCGAAATACTTCTCTTCTCTCACAATAATGTCCACTAGACCTGAAAAATTTAAAACATACATTCACAATAAATAATTCAGCGTTATTGAAAAGTAGGAATACTTAATCACTTCATTTCAAGTGATTAAAACATATGTGTACATTGGTAACAAGTATTCGTTGTTACATGAAAATGAATTCCCCATCGCCTTTGCCTGCAGTTAAAGTGGTCACTCAAAACAACATCGTGAATACCGATAAAATTTGCTCTCTCTCTTGACCGTGTTCACACCTCATATTCAAGACTACAGCATCACAGTGTATATATAGCTCCCTCATGATAATGTTGATTTACTTATTATCAGTAAAGTTTATAACGACATTATTAGGTTCGCTGAATGACTGACCGACACAAAACTGCATATCACGTCGACTTAGTCTGGTATGCAAAGAATTCACTGGAATCAAATCGTGAGCAGCATAGATCCTACATTTCTGTGTTCATTTAAACATGGAAGCTGTTAACTCGAAAAAATCTTTTAAGGGGACTCTTGCTCAAATCTATAGAAAAACAGTACATTTACTATGGTTTTCAAAAATTTCCACTGGGAAATGTTGACGAGCGCCTAAGCACTGTCGTTTAGATTTCTGTGTCATCTGGCTTCTAATACCCAATATTTGTCAATTTGATGATATTAGATAGTTGGAGGCAGTCAACAGGAAGCCTTGAACCTATGATTCGTGCCAGTTGGCACTCGTCAGCAAGGCGTATATGCAAATTTGAAGGAACTCATGTCCCTTCTGAGATTCGAACCCGAGTTCCTTCAAGGTTGCATATATGACTTCCTGATGTGTGCCGAATAGCACGAAACCTAGGTCCAAGGCTTCCTGTCGATTCCCTCCAACCATCTTAAATCATCAAATCAATATGCACCGTGATCGCAAGCTACCTAGAATGGTGGCCACATTGCAAACCTGACTGATTGAATTCAGTCTATAGCAAAGAAAGCACTAGACATGTCACATTAGTTACTAGTGTCCAAGCAAAATATTTATCAACTTATTTGCTCAATTTAAGATGATTTACTACGTAATCAGTTCTGATCAAATAGAGTGATAACGTGATTGTTTCTCGCTTATAACAAAAATCTGAACACTATGGTTTTGTATGTAAAACAGTTTGCAGTTTTACTGCATGCCAGGAAGTCATTTACTCCAGTTTGTATTTGCAGGCTTCAAGCGAATAATTGAGTGGAAAAGTGATGATAAGTTAGATAGTCAGTTGCCTGCATTCGTTCGCTTTCCATGAGGAACATAGGGCATCAGACCGTAAGCTTTAAGTCTCCGGTATCGCATAAGTCGCTTTTACGAGGTAGAGTTGCTAGCATCAAGCCTGAATTCTATGCCTCACAGGGTGAGCACTCTATCCCCAATAGAAGCACGTTCACACATCACTGTTCCCCACAATTTTTTTTTCAGCATTCCTAATCCTCATAGCTCTATCTTCATTTGTGTATATTCAGATGAACAGTAGAATAAAACTTTTTTTGAGGCAATGCCACTTTCAAAAATGATCATAAAAGCAGATATAAGAAATGCGCATACTTTTCATGAGTTTGACTCCAGATTGACCTTCCATCTGTTTTCTTCTGCAAGAAATATCTATATATTCAAGTTTTAGTGTGATATAATTTGTGGATTATAACTAACATTTATCAACTGATAATCCGCCAGGTGACAGTAAAGCATTGATGTTTTCTGTTAACAGTAAGAGAGAAAACACTAAATGAGTCATGGTTTATTAAAAAGTTTATCATTTTTCTTTGACAATATGCAAAGTTACAAAAATGGAGATGTTATCTGAGTGATGATGACTAACCGTCGAATCCAGAATACTCATTTCCTCCCATTCGGTGCGTGTCAGATGTATGTGTTTGTATATTCCTGTGAATGAAGATGTTCTCATTGGGAGTTGAACAAAGGCAGGGAGTTATCCACTAGGCTACTGTTATAGAAAATGCTGGTTTCCAACTGACAAAACGCTCCTGAACCCAGATATTGTGATTGCTGATGCTAGTCTACATGATTTGTGTGCAGCCTCCATCAGAGATAAAAACCCGTGCCAGCTAACAAGAGAGAAGCTTGGAAAATGCATATTCTGGATTTCGGTGCTGACCATCATCAACCGAACAGCATTGTGTTAACCTTCAGATTTCGTCAGGGCATCAGTACTAGAAGTCGACATTTCAACAGAAACCGAACATTTAGGTCTGTTATAAATCAATCAGGGGAGGCATACAACCTAAATAAGTGAAAATGTTTCCATTATAATTGCTTCTTCGGGAACGGCTATAGTACAGGACCACTTTTATCAAGATCAGTTATAGTTTTCCCAGAGAATTATTCTTATCGCACGCAGTAGAACAAGAGATGGGTAAATAGATTTATGTGCCATTCATCACCTATGAAGAAGGCTGTCATTGAGCTGATCCAGTAAATTCGGATGTCTTCGATTAGACTGTCAGCTTTCAGAGAGGGAAGAAACAAATAAATGACCCGATATTCTTGTCATTTTATTCCTCTAGGAGCTTGAGTAGTTATCAAGAGATCTGAGTGTTATGCACCACAATCGTTCATGGGGCTCACAATCTGAGCTGGAAATGGCGACCTACATATGGAATATTTTCGAATGTTAATGTACAGTGATTTGACCTACTTGAAGCCTGAAGAAGTGATATCAGTTAGGAAACCAGGACAGAATGCTGTGAATTCGAAATTCTACCGATTTCTGGTGTTGAGTATCACTGGTAGTCTTTTCCAACGGCGAATATATTTGAAGTCAGAGTAGGAGATTCGGACACGGTATTCGAGTATAATTCCATACTACATAATTTTATTTGATATAATACACAGTGACAATAACTGAGTGACGTTTCAGGCACAGTTCATTGTCCATAATCATATCAACTTATTCACACGGCCTTATCATGTGCTTTACATAAATGTCTCTCCGTCCTGTTGTTGTTCCTTGAAATTTTCCATTTATCTGGTGTAGCAGTTGTGTCATTTCTATTCCTCCTATTTGGTATCGTTTCAATGAATAGAGGTTTGGTGAATAATCTCTCTTTCTCTCCTCATCTGAAAGTACTGGAACGACACCAAACATTTTTGTAATAGAAATGACACAACAAGCTGATATACTGATGACCTATGAATTGTGTTCGAGACGAATATTCTACTGGACGGTCAACATGGTAGGCCCCATTCGTTACAATTACTCACTAGAACACCAGCCAACTCCATCCTGCAGTCAACCACTCGTGACCATTAGAACAAATTTCAAATGTCGGTTTACTGGGACTGAATTGATTTCAAGTTAAATCGGAATGTCGACTTCAAGATTTTACAAAGATGATTTCGCTAAGAATAAATATGTATACGGTAATGTGAACATTAGAAAAACTATAATTAGTGCAAGTTAGTAGTGTCAAATTATGCATCAAAATCAGGCGAAAGAATAACCATTGTAAATTACCTATGTGGTCCTGTATTACTTTCGTCAGATTCACCAAATTTGCACTGTTCTGCACCAAATGTTCTACAGTATCAGATCAATATGGAGTTCATATGAAGTGGACTTTATATTTTCAAGTAACGCATGCTTAATTCTAGTTCTTTTTTGTAGCATTCTCGATTGGTGACAAGTTGAATTTAGGTAATATCAGGCAATTGTATTACTGCATAAAATAAATGACTGGGAGATTGTCTATAATCATGTGTATCACTGACGTTATAAAAGGTAGGTATACTCATTCACCATTCACTGGCAGCGGTCTAGTGGTAAGATAATCGGCAGCCACACACATGGTTCGTATTCGATTCTCGGCTGACGCACTCCTTTAACCGGTAGTAAGCCCGGTAGCGAGGTTGGCGGAGCGCGAGGCTAGCAGTCTCATCCCGTAAAACAAAACAATACAGCTACTAAGACTCCAGATCTCATCCTTAATCTAAGAGAATGAAAAGTTAGGGAAACATAGAGTCTATAAATGTTTCCGTCTTAAAAATATTTAATAAAGTGTGAATACTATAAATAGAGAAGCTTGAAAGCTTATTCCAGATATGAATAAATATCTGTCTATTAGCGTTTTTTATTTTACCTGCATTCCGAACTAATTTTCTTTCTATATAAGATTTCTTCACCTTGAGTTTAAGCAAGTCTAAAAGAAAATAAAACGTTAGTATTACTGACTTTCTGTAATAATACAACATAAGTAATTCAGAATACTCAGAATCATGATACATTTTATGATGATTTCAGCATGCAGATTAGGTTTTAAAATAATTCTCAGATGTGTAAGACATCGACTGACTTTCACGCTTTGCAATTAGCATTTTGCGAAACATAAATTGAAGGTGAATGGAGTTTTTCTAACGCTAGGGTTTGACGCAACCATGAAAAACATCGATCCGACTTTGTCTTTTTGAGTGGAATACTAATCAAGCGGATGCTCAAACAGCGTATGTGATATCTGCAGTTGAACGACCTCACAGTGAAGTTGTGAATGGTTGGCTTAAGGGCTAGTCTTTAAGTGAATGTTTCTGAGGTCCGAGTTCGACTTTACCTACTCCGGTTTGTACATCTGGGTAGGATCACCAGTCCTGACACACTAAATGAAAATCATGAGCTGCGAAACAAAAATTCTATTCTGGGAAGGTGAGTTCTAACAACAATGACAACCATACGTCAACTAAATGATAAGTGATAAATCTGAGTCATAAACCTATTTCTGTACAAAAAAATTATTCTCAATGCCTAAAATCAATCCCAAAATCCTTGTTTTGAATTGACTCCAGTGTGTAACCATGTTTCAGTCTTTAGTCTAAATACACAATAACACATCTGGTGGATGTCGACTGCTCAAGACTTGTTAGCTGGATGTGACTGCGATCCCCAGTAGGTGGTTGTGTTCACACTGAAACTCGAATGTCGCCCACTAGTTTTGCATACTAAAGTGTTACCCACTAGACCATTCGACCCATGAAAGCCACCTTTTGTAAAGCCGGAATACGTTTTAATGTTCGTCTGACGCTTTGGCATTTGAAATAATGGGTACTCGGTGCAGTGGGAACAACATCACTCACTTGGGATCGGTCACGAGTCCCAAATCAGAGGAAACGCGCATACTGGATTCTGCTGCTAGTTGATATCCGCCAAATTGCATCCTGTTAATACTGAAACATCATCAAAGCGTCTGTATTGTTAACCGTCATGTCAAGAGACACCTAAAGTTTCAGTCCAATCGATAAGTGGGATAAATAAAATTGACTTAATCAAAAACAATTTCTGAGCTTCGTTAGTTATATTCTGCGATGCTCATTTTGAACAAAATACCTACATGACAGTAGCTAGTGGAACTTGACAATCTATAAGCTAACTTCAAGATCAATCAAACATTTTATACTTATTAATTTAGATGAAGGTGTACATGCAATATTTAAACGATTATGAAACGTAAAATGAAACTCACCATCTTGTGTGGATTGTTGAACATGAAGAAGAATGAAACTTGTGATGAACAGTAAGAAGTAACGCATGTTGCACTTTGTTCTAAACAGATAAAAAACTTTGTATGCATTTACATATACACATACATATATATATGCCGGTGACAAGAGCAGACAGCAATACACTGAGTAGTAGACACTTCATAGTATCAAATCAGATTTGAAATCACAAAAGCTGTTAGTCATTGTCCAACCAAATTCCAACTACCTGAATTATTTGTGCTGATTAGATGAAGTAAAATTGGCCGTCTTTTCTAAACAAAATACCACTAGGTGAGACGATAACTCTCAGAAAAATAAATCAATACGACAGTGTCTAGTGCATAATTCAAAACGAATATCCAATTTGATGAGTTTGGTGAAGACATTTATCAGATTTTCACATAACTATGCATTTATTCTTGTGTTGTCAAAATCCTGAAAGCAAAAGTAAAACTGACCGAAACCGTTTTTGATCTGATTGCGTTCTGTGAGCTGGTTAGTTTAATTACGATTCCCTCAGTCTCCATCTAGACAGAAACTTAAGCGGAAACGTCAATATAAGTAAACGTTTAGAGATGGATTAGTATTTAGCAAGGTTGCACTAAACACTGCAAGTTTCTGCATCCAATATACAAACAACAACAAATTTGACATAACGGCTTGCAAGATCATGGTGCTTTCTAATATATACACCTTGCTCATCCAGTCAGCATTCTAGGCTATGCTGGCTCATATATCCACTGAGAAGAGTTAACAACATCGAAGGACATGAAGAATCTAAAGAGAGAGACGTCAGTTTTAGTTTTGAATATAAACTTCTGGTAATTTCTCTCTTCGAACGACATTTTAGGTAAACCTAATCGTAATCACCAGCCATTAGATTCAGAAAATAATCATGCAACACTGCCATGAATGTTAACAGTGACTGTTTACTTTGGAACCAATTCGAAGCAGATTTGCTGGTCACGGCATCATATTTCACATCAAGGCCGAAAATTCTTCAGAAGAGTTGAAATCAATAGTCAAAAATTTAGTGACAAAGTTGAGAGCAGGGCAGGTAATGTGAACTTGTCTCAATCAATACAAGTTATTGGTCAGTGAAAGAATCAGATTGAATAAGTCTGTGTTTAAAACTTCACCGATGAATGAAACAGACCAGATAGAATTCATCTATAGCAATTCACACAGCAAACGGTTGATATAGGCTTAACAGACCAGCGTTTTGTTTGGAAACATGGCTGAGAGGGGAATTTCAGAAGATCAGTGCGTTTTGCAGTAGACAATACAATTATTACCGTTATTCATTTCTTGCCTACCAGGTGGAACACAAGGCTTCAGTGGTACACATTTATTACACTTCGAAATCTGATGTCATATTCACCTGGTTTCACCGCTACTCGCATAGTTTGAACTTCCTCTCACCATATTACACTTGTGAAGCCAACCCATCGCTTCCCATTCGGGTTGCGGTGTATGGCATGTCTGGCATATTGTGTCGTTTGAATATCTCTTCAGGGTTTGTTCAGCACATCTCCATTCACTCCTGTATATTTATTTGTCGGACGGAGGATTCATGGCTGGCTGGTTACCAATAAACAGAGACAGGCCCATAAATTTGTAACCAAAGTGGTTTTCAGAGTGATTTATTCATGCTCAGAGTTTAAATAATTTCAAGACAGTTCTATTGATTATGCTCCAGTCATCTCAATGTAATTAAGAAATATTAGAACAGTGTTTTCAACGAATTTTACATATTCTGCTTTTCAAACTGACAACTATTCTATCGCAAGGTGGTGACTTCATGGCCTTTGATGACTTTCTACACAAGGGAATGAAGCTCTACCAGTTGGATTTCTGCTTCTCATGGTATTATGATGATTTCATTGAGGAAAATCACACATTTCAACGTAGGTGGCATCAGAAGAGAATTCGTTTTTCAGCTGAGTAGAGGAATGACATGTGATGAGGATCCTACAGTCTGTGAAATTATTATTTCCTTGAATTTCAAGTGGAGCATAGGACTTCAGTAGCACAGCTCAATTCCACTCTGTTTTCTGCCTTTCCTTTTTGACTGACTCCATTCTATTTTCTTCTGCATATTAGTGAGGTGATAATTTCTCAGTTGGCTTCATCCCGGAGCTCTTTGTTACTCATAATTTCTGGCCAACCATCTAACACTCAGTACAGGGCTAATGTAGCGAATGAATACACATAAAATTATTTTCGTATATGATTTGCGGTGACATTCAGATACCATGTTTTATACTACAAATCTTGAAAAAACTATATTACTATATAGTTCGTAAATACTATTATCTGAAATATAAGGAGTATGTTAGGCCTTCTAGGTGAAGACAGGAATGATGTTAGCCTGAGGAGAACATTGACGATATCACAAACCAGGCCATCGCCCAAGAGTAATTTCGAATGGAAAACCGAGAAGTCGGCTGTTCAAGTGTGACATAGAGGAGATGAGATCTTACGTGTAATCGTGAGACCAGCTAAAGGGTAACCCACTGAGTAAAGTAATATTAAATTACAGAATGTTGGAGAAGTCAGGTGTGTGGGCGATTTCATTGTGCTAGTAGGCTTTCATTAAAATTTATCTACTGTGTAATGTACTGTATAATCGAACATCTCCTGCCATCATGTGTCATGGCCAGCAGTTCTCCTCTCTCTCCACAACTGTTTTATTATGTTCCTCTCACTATCTTATGTCTGATTCATCATCAGTTTCAAAGTTATTGGTACTAAACAGTCAGTTGTTCAAGATAATAATTTTTCACGCATGTTTTCAGTTGAAAAGAAATTATTTATGCAGATATCAAGTGAACTGGAGAAATTGATACCAGCAGGTAAGTCGCATGAAGTGAATTAAACTGAGGCGATTGATTGAGAAGTGTCATATCATCCTGTTTCTCACTTCAAGCAAGAATAATTACAGCCAACACTGGTGCTTTCAATAAGTTCTTTCTTCACGCTATTCATATATAAATCCACTGATTTTAGCATATACAAGCCAGTCAAGCTGAATTGGAATTAAGTCAGAGAGTGTATTGTGCTATGCGTAGAAAATGAAGTAATAGTCATTCAGTTTGGATTACTATTTCCAAGGCCTATAAAATATGTGCAGTCACTAAGAAATTACCTGAAATAACTCAGTGATGCATTTGTATAAACTTGACCAACAAATTATCAGTTTCCGCGGATGGTGTGAGAGGGAGTGTGTGAGCTGCAGAAAAATAAACGAACAAATAAAATCCAGTGAGGCAGGTATAAGTTCGATGGAGAGCAAATAACTGTAATGAGGATAAATTAAATAAGCATGGGATGATGTAAACACAGGTGTATTATTTATTGCTGACCGATTATTGTATAATGACAAATTATATAGAGTGGAGAGAAACCGTATTACGTGAATACTTTAATACATATGAAGGGTTTTACTTAAACCTAAGGTTAGTATCTGAATCAGTCAATAGTATGAATTAAGAGACCGTTGTCTTTCGGGTTCTGGCTGGTGTTGACATCGTCATCTGTGCCGACTGCCTGTGGTTCAAACGGCGTTTTCTAGACGAGTGAAAGAATAAATTGACCACTTCCAAATTCATTCACGTGACAGTGATTGGTGTTGATGGTTTGGTCGTCGATGTGGTGGTGGTTGGTAATCTTCGTCGCCCCCATCTTCTCTATGTTCCCTTGAAATCCTTTCCAATGAACACAACAACATTTCACTTCACTTATCCTCATTCCGAATAGTTATGAACATAATCAATTTATTCCTCATTTGTCTAGCAACTTTTATTCCACTTGAATACATAAACATCATCACAGTTAAAACAGTGTCCACTCTGATATTTGAATTTCATGAAACCACAAACTGTTAGATTTAGTGATATAAAATAATTCATTCCATTAATTCGTGCATCTGTTCAACTTCACTCAGTCAGTCAGTCAGTCAGAGTGAAACGTGTTGCATATTGAATCGATGAAAGGTAATCTCCCGAGCATATGTGGCTTCATCCGTTATCTCTTTGGAAAAACAGAGTTCGTTAATTAATCAGGTGAACCGCGTTGGTGAAGAATTTGAAGATAGCGACTTTCAAATGTCAATTTTTAAATCTGTGTTGCCATTACTATTTGCATTTGTTCCATCTATATTTCTAAAATGAATATGTGTGTCTGCTTATTTTTACAGAATAACTGCACCACTTGGAAATTATTATTTCTTCTTAACACCCAATGAATTTTCGGAGGAAACAGTGCTGAGCAACATGTTCATTGACTTTTATTATCTTCATTACTAAGGTTGATATTAATTTCACTTTAACTTTTCATTTCTTCTGAAATGATGCTCTTTTAATTCATTGTGTGACAATTAACGTTTGAAATAATAAATTGTGCATGCGAAACAATAGAAGCGAGTGACTATCAACTACTTTAATTTTGCGTTTCATTTCTTGATATCCGAGTGGGAGGTGGGATTTCAGGTGCACATCTGCATCCCATCCATCTCAACTGGCTCCAACAACTGCTCGCCGACAAGTTTTAATTTCTTAGTTATGCGATCTCCTCCATATCTTTCGCGGAAACCATGCGTCTCTTGCCATTTGGCTTCAAGGCGACGACCAACTGGTGTGTGATGTTACTTGTATCAATCCTCAGTGTATATCTAGTCTATCTGTATTTCCTCCTGCTTATTTTATTAGCCAGTATGTTGTTGGTTGTTGAGCTGCTTCTGGTGGGTTTCCTTGTTGCATGATAATTCCTGATAGACCGCCTACCCTTAATTGTCGAAGTGGGCAGGTGTTGATGAAAATGTCTGGCACACAGATAGAAATCCTGCGTTCTTTAAAAGTATCTCATCAGTGAAAGCTGCATGAGTTAATTAGAGTATGTGAATCTCCTGGAGTGACGTTAGAAACAGACGGTTTGAAAATGTGGTGAGTAGTTTACCATCTTCGGTGACTATCTGTAGCCATTTTGCGTAAATAACAAGCGAATTTCGTCGAGCGAGAATAAATCATCTTCATCAGATATTGAAGCTTAATTGGTTTACTGCCAATTCTCC